AAAGAGTACTTCTTGTACATTGTCTGTTTGTGAAATGTACTGATTTGAAAGGCCAGGGGAAACAAGTACCTGAGATGTCTCAGATCTGATGCAGGTCCATGCCCTGGACCTGGGATCGGGGAGCTCCAAACCCAGAATGCTCCAGGATGTGTCCAGTGGGAAGGTCTTCTTCGTACATTGCGGAGAAAGTGCTCTTCCCTCCGCGCGCTGCCGCTGGAACTTGCTCATTATGCACAAGTGTAGCCACCAGCGCACTCCCTCGCCTGGCTTCTGCGGTAGGTCTCAGTGTTCGGCAAAACTGATTTCCTCTAGCAACCCCCACCTAGCCGTACTTCTTGCTTGCTAGGATATTTAAAATCAAATCCTAGAAATCATGTCATCTTATCAGTACTGAAGCTATGTCATCTTTGATTAATAAGGACTTTCTTATTATCCTTTAAAAATCTACTTTCAGATTTCTCAAAATTAAAAGAAAAATCATGATTTCTTTGGATCAGGACCCAAGTAGGCCTGTTTGCCACTTGACTCTTTTGTTTTTCAAATATTTCAAGTTCTGCAGCAGCCCAGCTTCCCACATACTTTTATACTCTTCTTGATTTGTAATAAAATCACAGCGTACTCCATAAATGCCCCAGTTCTTGATTTGATTGGCTCTTTCCTCAGAAGGCTAGTTCTTACTTTCCTCTATTTGCTTTTTTGCTTTGAACTATTAGCCTGTAGACTTTTTTTTTTTTTTTTTTTTTTTTTTTTTTTTGTATTTTAGGGAAGGGTCTATTGGGTATTCAGAGTCTCACTACTAGATAAGATTCACAGTGATCTGCCTGCTCTTAGCCTCCCAAGAGCTGGGATTACTTACAGACGGGTGCCACCACGCCCAGTCTCAGGTGCCTCTCAGCACACCCTGGGGTTGGGGCCAGCACGGATTAACCTACAGACTTGATTGGGCTTAGGCTGGGAAGCATGGTGGGGCGAGCATGGGCGCGGGTCGTGTGTGTCCTGCGCGCTCCGAATCTCACCAAGAGACACTCAGCAGATTCGTTGGTTGCTGTTCCTGATGGGACGACTCACCACTGGCTTCCCACAGTGTCAACTTGATCCCTCCATTTTGTTTATTTTAAAATTTTAATTAATTAATTAATTATTATTATTTTTTTTGCTTTGTTAAGAATTGTGCCCTGTCTCTCCATTTAAACATTCTCCATAATATTGAAAAGAAAGATTTGTGTTAATATAGTTTGGGGAAATTTTTAAGCCCATATTTTATATGCTGCTCAGCATACGACGAGACACGGGCTACTACTTTAAAGATAATGATATTCAATTCTATTATTTTTTATCGTTATTCTATTTTTTTCTTTTATTATTATGGGGTAGAGGGTCTCACTACGCAGCTCAGACTCATAGTGATCCTCCGGTTTTCAGCCTCCTCAGTGCTGGGATTACATGCGTGCACCACCATGCCCAGTCTTGGTGGCTAGCTGGGTGTGCCCAGGGTCGGGGCTGGCGAGGCTTGTGGTGCTGGGGATGGGGCCTCAGTCCTGTGCCTGCCTAAGCAGGCCCTTAGTCCACTGAGCTAGCTTGCTGGCCCTCTTCTATTATTTTCTCATGAAACTGTTTTAATTTTTCCCTTAAAATAAAAAAGAATTCTCCATAGAAGATTATCACCTAATTCCAATAGTCTAAGTAGTGAAATGCTGAAAATTTTGCCATTCTTTCTGTATTCATTAGTTGGGCTTTGATAAAAGCCTTCTATCATCAATTATTTCACTATATTGAAATATATTTCAAGGGGCCGGGGAGATGGCTCAGTACAATAGGCACTTCCCTGGCAAGCTCAAGGGCCTGAGTTCAATCCCTGGTTCTGGAAAAAAAAAAAAAAAGAACTATATTTCATGCTGAAAAGGTGGGGTGTATGCTTGCTCTTTTCCCATTGTGAGAGTTTGTAACAGTATCGAGTGGCTTTGTTAACAACACACGGAGCTGGGCATGGTGGCGCACATGGCGGCACACGCCTGTAATCCCAGCTGTGGGGAAGATGAGACAGGAGAATCGTTGTGAGTTCGAGACCAGCCAGGGCTGCAAAGTGACCTCAAGGCCAGCCTGAACTGCACAGTGAGACCCTGGCTCAAAAAGACCAAAATCAAAACAACAAACCAAAGAGGACCCTTTGACTTGGCCAGCATGTCCTTTCGACATGACCCAAAATCCTTCAGCGCTTCCTGGTACCTCAGGACGCATGGGGCCCGTGTGGTCAGCACCACCCTGTGCTTGGAGCCGCCTGCCTCTGCCCAGAGAGGCTGCCACGTGTGTGCTTAGGAGCCACTGCAGTACCAGGAGAGCCCGTTATTTCTGGGATGTCGTTTCTTCTGGTGTTTTGCAATAGGGCTTAGAATCCACTTGTATTTTTTACGAAGAAAAAAAAATATGAATTGTAACTTCATGGTGGTTTTTTAGTGAAATATTAAAACTTTTTTCCTACTTATTTGATTTTACACTTGGAAACCTTGTACTGGAGACCTTGCTTTCCAAAGACACTGATGTCATCATGTGCCTTATTATGCACTCTATAATCATTTCAAAATGACACTATAAACGTTGCATATAGCAAGATTATTTTCATTGTATATATCATTGTACATGTACCATTGTATATTTTCATTGTATTATATTGTATATGTACCAGATGAGGCTTTTGTTTTCAGTTTGTGCGTGCATGAATGTGTACGTGTGTGAGGATTAAATCTATGGCATAAGCACTGAGCTACACTTCCAGCTTCTTTTCTTTCAGTACTGAGGTTTGAACCTAGCACTCCATCCATGCTAGACAAGGCCTCTGTCACTGAGCTCCATCCCCAGCTTGCTCCCTGTTCTTCCCTCCCTTCCTCTCACCCCCCCCCATTTGTCTCTCTATCGACACAGGGTCTTTCTAAATCGTTCAGGTTGGCTTTGACTTTTGGGATCCTCCCACCTCATCTTCCTGCATAGCTGGAGTTACAGACATGATTAGTATAGCTGGCCCGCTACACGGTCC